TTCAAATCGTTTTGCTGTTTAGCTTTCCGTTGAGAAAATATACCTACCGCAAGGACAAATTACGCAACGTGGTAGAAGTTAAGCTGATTTTGGTCGAATCCGTCCAATTAAGAGCACTATTCTACATTGGAAAATAGAACTAATGGTACATATATGTCGCAGGCAAATAGTAAAATCAGGCATTTCGTCAAATGCCTAGGCAAATAGTCAAATATTCTAACTGAGATCGAAATTCTGATTCTTTTCCTCATTTTAGACAAAATAATTATTTGCTCCTGTGAGAAAAACATATTGGTAAAAATTTGCATCACACAAAAGTATTTTAAACAATTTTCAGATCCTGAACGACACTTATCTCAAAATTTTCAGCATGCCATAAAATACAGAGTTTTTAGAATTTCAACATTTAAAAATATGAGAAGAAATTGGAGAGAAAGAGACGAAAAGAGTTCGTAGGTTTGATGAGTTATTTTTCCAAAAAATATTGAAAACTCGTGAGCTCTTCGCCATGAATTCACAAAATTTTGTAGACCGTCAAAATTTAACCATATGCCTAGGCATTTGACAAAATGCCTGATTTCACTATTTCCCTGCGACATATCGTCACCTTCCAGGCAAAGTATCACAAGCGCCATGCGACGTTTAAAAATTTCCGCCGCCATTTTATTTCTTTACTGAGAAATTGTTCGTTGAATCTGTTTGGAAATTTCACTAAATTTTATCGGCAGCACAAAGAAAATTCAGTGAAATTTTCGGATAGCTTCGTTGAACAATTTCTCTGTAAAAAAATAAAATGGCGGCGGAAATTTTTAAACGTCGCATGGCGCTTGTGATACTTTGCCTGGAAGGTGGCAATATACATTGCTTCTAAACTGAGACAGAAATTGTAGTTCTCAATTCAAAATGAAATCCAATTATACTGAGTTCCCAGAAAATGTCCTCTTCCGCGAAAAACAAATTATTTTTAAGACTTCTCGTCATCGAGAGCAGCATAATGAGTCTTAACTCAATTTATTCAGTGCGATCCCATTGCTTTTCTGTGAATTTTTCAACATTGCGCAAAAGTGACATCGACTGAATGACTATAGACGGAGATACAAAGAAGTCAAAGCCGTAATTACTATCAAACCTCCGTCCATGCCTTTTCATTCTCTTTTTAATTCATTCCAAGGCTCGATACTGTATTCAACGCACAATGAAGAACCTTTTCAGCGGTGACCTCATTTCATCTTTCTATTCTACCGCCTCAATCGGTGCCACCTCTTAAATTCGAGAATTACTCCCCTTGTTGGTGCAACTTTAACTGGCTCCCTCATGAATTCATGTTCAAGTTCGTTTAAAATATGTAGACTTGTTTTCCTATTTTGGCGTGTACAGCCTAGGATGCTGAATGTCTATAAATAAAATAAAATAACTAACTAACTAACTACATTCAATTTCACTAGATTTGGTTCACTAAGTAATCTCACGCACAGTTTGTTCTCGAGGACCAAGCCGTTTAATGAAAATCGCTCTCACCAAAAAATTTTCATTCAACGTCACAGAGTTTTTCGGTTGTTTCAGAATGGAACTTTAGATTCCAAAAAAGCCTCTGACAAATGTTGTCGAGCTAAAAAAGTGCAGCAAATTGGTTAATTTTCATATTAAATGTATCATATATGGCATTCAAATGTTTGTAGAATCAGGCCCGCCACATCCCATCTCGGGCCCTGGTACCAATTCTCTGGCCCGGGCCCCTAGCACAGGGGGGGGGGGCCGGGGGGCCTCCCCCGGAAAATTTTTGAAATTTTAAATCTATTTGGACGCATTATGAAGCTCTTATGATGGAGATTTTCCATCAATTTCTGCAGAATAATTACGCCTTTTTGTTTACTTTCAGCACCAAAAACTTTCGAATTGTTGCATTCAAAACATCTATAAATTTTTTTTTGAGGGGGCAGATGATAATTTTCAATTCTATGGGGAGCCGGGCCCCCTGGACTCCCCTTTCGTACGTCTATGGCAAGGGAGTTAAGCCATTGAAGTCGAGGATGCCCAGAGAGGAGCCTCTTAGCATCCGACAACGGAAGAAAATGAAACACAGTTACTAAAAATATCATTCTACATATACTCAAAATCTTGAAAATCTCTAAAAAAGTAAGAAAAATTTTATAGTGCCCTAGCGTGTTTTTGAAACTTTATTCACCTTTTGCAGAATTTATAGGGTAACTTTTTCACTTTTCCCTACGAGACAAGGGTTACACATGAATTCGTATTGGTTTGTCACCTGCGTCACGGGCCCCTCCAGGGCCCGGGCCCCGGTACCAGGGACCCAGTATCCCCCCCCTTGTGGCGGGCCTGTGTAGAATCCAGACGCTTCGAACGGGAGGTAGAAAGGGATACTGGGGGTTTCCTTTCTCTCCCTTCTTATTCCAGGTAAATACCCCCTACGACCTCCTTGGATCTACGTATGGTAGTTTTTCACAAATCCGGAAAGCGAAACTTTAGAACATTTTTAGAGACAGCTACTTTTTTTTAAATATTATTACTTGCTCTCTGACCTCTTAAATTGTCATTTTTTGTCACACTTCGTTCTACCGCTCTATAGGGCTCATTTTCATGATTTTTGTGGCTTAACATGCGGCAGAACTTATAGATGAGCCCGAACAATTCAGATTTCAGAAACATGACCCAGGTCGTACAGCAACGTGACAAAGTTGTGAATTCACCAAGAAGTTTAGATGTTCATCGTTGTCACATTTTGTTCTAATGATCAACCCGGTTAATTATTCATTATTTTTGCGGCCATCAGTAAAAGATAGCCCTTAGACGAGCCCCCTCTATTTTCATTAACTTACGAGGGCCCGTGAGGCGCCCTCGAGGGGTTGGACCGCGTAGCGGCCACGGGGCGGAACCCCTTGTCCTATTCTAACCTTAATTTGCATCCATTCTAACGGTGAGAACCATTTTTGTTGCGCTTCAAACTGATCATTAAATCCACGCACCAGTTTCACACTATCAAGCTTTGATTTTCGGATGAACCTGTTTTTGAAACACCCTATCCTAGCCTCTTTTTGCATCCATCCTGGCCAGTGGCGAGGCGTGAATGATCGCTTATCGATATTTCTCTATTTGAGGTTGTGGTAAAGAATCGATTATTAAGGTGTTCGTTGCGAGCAGCCTTTTTATCGATCCTTGTCCATAGGTTTGACACTGGGAAAAAAAACACATTGGATCTAGAGTCCAGACTCTCAAAAACATAGACAAGAAAAAGTACTCTTGATACAATCGGTATCTAGCTTAAATCAAGAACCATCCTTTTTAATTTAAGCGGATTTCGTTTTGATTCAAGCGAAAATCCGATTGAATCAAGAGTATTTTTTCCTGTCGATGTTTTCAAGAATCTGGACTCTAGATCCAATGTGTTTTTTTTCCAGTGAAATGGTGGATCAATCGATACATTGCAAAGCACGCCACGCCACACAGTAGATCGAATCAATTAGAGCGGTCGGACAAAATTTGGAAACTTAAAACGCTTACAACTCCGTTCATACAAAATTTTAAAGTTCCAAAAGTGGTTTTATTGGGTTCCTCGTGAAATTTTCTCCTAGGGACACCCCTAAATATTTGAAATGTGACGAAATTAACATGAAAATATGCAGTTTAAGTAAAAAAATTTCATGTCCGACCTCTATGATTGATTCGATCCACTGTGCGCCACTGATCCTGGCAATGCCGATGCGGACGGAAAAAGTTGAATTTTTGAGGAGGGTTTTCACTCGTGGTTGAGTGGCAAGGATTATCCGCGCGGTTAATCCGAGCCACCATTTAATAACCGCTCGAGTGGTGGGCGCACCACGCTCCAATCAATTTTTCCAGCCACGTCCGGGGAGTGCATTTCGGTTGCGGTCCATTACAAGCTGTCATTTGCATCCCACCTCATAATTGGACCCGCGCGCAGTAATTAATGTTGCGCGGGTCAGGGCACTCGTGTCCGGCCCGGGGTGTCCGATCCATCGATGTAAAATCCTCCCTGCGCCTGATTGTTGAATTGTTATCAAATGACTGTAATCGATGAATACCATATATATGATGCATAGCACCCGGAGAAAAAAACTTCGTGCGTGGGACCCGAAGTTTAGGTCATGGATCTCTGAAGTTTTCAGATTGAGCATCTGAACACTTTATGTTCAGCTGCTGAGGTTTGGATCACACATCTGAAACTTCAGTTCTTACATCTGAAGTACTTCGGTTTTCATATCCGAAAAACTTCGGTTCTCACATCTGAAGTACTTCAGATGTAAGAACTGAAGTTTCAGATGTGTGATCAGAACCGCAACGGCTAGACCTAAAGTGTTCAGATGCTCAATCCGAAAACTTCAGAGATCCATACGACGTACACTTCGGGTCCCACGCACGAAGTTTTTTTCTCCGTGCACTACCGTGCTAAGCAAGAACGCCGTATGAACCATCAGGCGGTGCCAAATTCCCCTCGACAAATCACAAATTTTCAGGAAAATTTGGGAACATTTCTTCTCAGATTTTTCAGAGGATTTTGTTCGTAATTTGATCTAAAAAGTCTGAAAATTTCAAGGAAAAAAATGTATAACAATTTTCAAAATTAGATATTTTCAGAGACGAAATTCGGCAACATTCGAGTGCTCATGCGGCGTTTTTACTTAGCACGGCAGCATAAGGTTCTGCGCTGGATATAGACGATGAAACTCTCAAACCACGTACTTTGTTTGCGGTGTTTAAAAATATCCGCTCCCATTTTTTTTCTTTTCTTTTACAAATGAAAAAATCAACACGATTCCTTGAGGTTTTCATAGAATTTTCTTCGCACAGAGAATAAATATCATAGCAGTTTTCAACAATTGTCGTTGTGCAGTGTTCAATTTTAAAAATAAAATATGACGGGTATGCATAGTCGCAGGTGGTTTTGGTGTTTTACCGTCGATATGTGGCTATATTCAAAATAATAAAGCAGATAAAAATGTACAAGGAACCTCCTTTTCTAGTTTCAGATAAATTGAAGAATGAAAACTCCAATTCTAACTCAATGAGAAACATGGTGGTGTCTAGATCTTCTCCTCAACCTGCATTCAGACATGTAAGTGTTTATTCAACCAATTTTTTAGTGTGTTCATCCTTAAGCAGAACTAAATATACTTTGCAAGCGGCTAAGGGAGCACTTCATAGGGGGAGATGGGAGTCGGAAGGCTACAAAAAGAATCCAAGTGAAGGGGCCCCCTCAACGGAAATTTTAAAAATTGAGATGTCGTAATGAGCAGTCAATTTTGAACTGCTCTTTATAAAAACTCCATTGAAAAACCATTGAAAATATTTCAAAATTGTCATGCACTTAAGGTGATTCGATGGACGCCATATTTTGTGTCAGAACGGCATGCGATATATCGTATCGTTTGGCTCCATTTTTTCAGCTACTCGTCATATTTCTCCAATATTGAGATCGCTATTCTGTTGTTAGGAGACTAAAGCACTCACTTACCAATTTTAACAAAGAAATTCAACGTAATAAAGGCGTGGTTTTTTCAGAGAGAGAATATCGCATTCGAGTGCAGTTTCGATATCAGTATCGAATGCGATGTTTTCTCTCTGAAAAAACCACGCATTTATTACGTTGAATTTCTTTGTTAAAATTGGTGAGTGAGTGCTTTAGTCTCCTGACAACAGAATTGCGATCTCAAAATTGGGGAAAAATGACGAGTAGCTGTAAAAATGGAACCAATCGATGCGATGTATTGTATGCCGTTCTGACACAAAATATGGCGTCCATCGAATCACCTTAATTGAAAAATTCCTCTAACGGGATCAAGTAGATTTTAAGGGGGCAGGCCCCTACCCCCTCAGTTTTTCCCTTGTAATTACCGTTTCCTGGGGAAAATTTTGAAGACAGAAAGTATACCCTGCTGCCGTATGAAATTTTCATCGTGAAAACAGGTGAATCTTGTGCGGATATCAGACTGCACACATCGGCGAGTAGAATAAACAAGAGGGTACACACTTCACCTGAAAGGGTTAAAAATAACCACAAGGAAAACGGATAACGACGTGGACTTATACAATATACAATGCCGGCGCGAATTGAAGTGCAACTGAAAATCCCCCACAAGTGCCGAAGTAACACTCCCTCAGAGAAGCCAAAGCGTGTTGGAACAACGTCGCTCTGGGGTGCAGGGGGAGAGAAAAATAGGGGAGGAGGCGCACGTCTGAAGAGTCATCTACCCCACGAATAATACAGCACGTGCACGCTAAGGGTGGCTAAAAATATGAGCATAATTTTGAATGTTTTTGATTCCCGTTGCCTTTCGAGATACGCGTATTTTGCTGGGAGAGATCGGGGATTCCCTGAGGCTTGATAAAATTTTCAGTGGAACTTCCGGGAACGTTCAGGATTTCTGGTTACATCAACTAATTGGACGTCTTTAACTTGAATCATTCTGAGTACATCACTGCCGTGCCAAGGTAGAACGCCGTGGGAACTGCTGGACGTTGCCGAATTGCCTTTGATAACAGTCAAATTTTCTAAGGAACGTGTGGATGTTTTCTTCTCGCTTTTATAGATAATTTAGTTTGCAATTTTATACAGAATATTTGAAATTTCCAGGGATAAGAACAGAATATTCATAAATGTCTTCAAAAACTGAGTATATGTATGCATTGAAGTATGGAATTTTGCAACATTCGAATGTTGATGATGCGTTTCTACATGGCATGGTAGATTAAACGTTGTCCGTTTTATTCTTATTTTCTTAAGAGCAGATCCACAGGAAATTTTAAAGTGCTGTATTACTTAATTTCCTTGTATGAAAAAAAAAAACATGAAATTATTTTGCGCAACGTGAAATACATTTCAGCAGTCCATCTCACGCCCTTTGCAAATTGAATGGAGTATTCTTCATGAGGTGGTAGCTTCTCCCTGTAAAAATACCAAAAATTATCCAGCTCAGATAACATTATAGACCTGCGTGCATTTAAATAATTCAAACCCCTCAGATTTAATGTTGTTGTAAGCTTTTGGAGCGAACATATGAATGATGATTTTTAAGAGATGTTTTTTGAAATGGAACACCGTAGGATGAATACCATAAACGTGCGTTGAACACTTTTTGATCCGCAATTGCGTGATTATCAGTCAGAAATTGTTACAATAAAAATCTAATAAACTCTTGACCGATGACCGCGACATTAATGCTAACGCGTGGATACAACTATTCGAACTTGATGGATGTGCGTATTACATATCTAAAAAATGCAGGCGCTCTTAATTCTTTAATACAAACATCTAGATGCAATCTTTCGTGCTCAATGTATGTGCGTGATGCATTGAGGAAATGAAGGTTTTCTTGATACTAATGCTTCGATACAATAATACATCCTCAATTTTAATGCTGCATATCCCAACCAATATCAAAACGTTCTGACTATTATTAGACCTATCTATCGATTGATGTTTGTGTAGGCTGAAAAGCGAAAAAAACTACTCAGCTTCCTCCGATTTTTCCTTCTTTTTTTTGCTAAATGAGAGCGGCTAAAAAGAAACTCAAATAATTAATCGCAAAATTGGCAAATGAAACTTTTCTTTCGCGATCACTTCCTGTCGTAGAGAGTGCTCTAAGGGCACGACCTTTTTCTCTCTTTGTAAGTAGTGACAAGACCCTAAAAGCTTTTTCGATCCCAATGTTGTTCAATTTAAAGTTCGTTCGTAGACAAAAAGTCAGTGCTGATATAGAACGGAGAATGTTGCCGCTTTTTCATGGGTTTTCGGCTGCAATCTTCACACAAACACAATTTAGGACGAGATAAATTTTTAATGTCTTCCCACAACTGGCACCAGTTTGCCCAGTTCAATTCTTGTGATAGTTTTTTTTAAAAGTTATATAAAACTTTGATCTCATATGGTCAGGCAGGTCACAAAATTATTGGATCCTAGTGCAACTCAATGCTCTTGTCTGGCACAAAAATCAACGTGACCATTCATAACTCACTTTTCAGTGTACTTAAAAAAGTTGTTCCGTTCAATTATTAAGACTGAATTTGTCTGTCCCAGCTCGAAAAAAACTCGCTCTGCACTATTAGAAAGGGGTATTTTCTGTTTCCATAACAATTATGTTATTCACTCATTGAACAAACTTCGTCAACCAAAATTTGACTATATATCAATTTAATGGACCCTAATTAACTCAAAATGGCTCTAAAAAACTTTAATTGACTCTAAATTTCTTAAACTGCCTCGTGTTTGGAGACCATTTTGACTCAATCTACAAGTCAATTAACTCTACCAACTATATTATCTTAAATATAAGTACGAGAACAGAATTTCACAATTCCCTAACATTATTTTAAAAATATTGCCTCCGTGACGTAAGATCCCTCGTCCCGACAACAGTTAAAAACCATAAAAAAAGTCGCAGAAACTCTGGATAGGATATACGCACGCTATTTGCGCCATATAGGAATCCAATCGAAAATATAAAAAATTAGTGATCATGAATCTTTCACCTGGAAGGTTATCTCGTTCCCTTTTACACAGCAAGTATTTTCTTTTTTCTTTTTTTTTTAAATTCCGATGCGAGGCCGGATAGTGCCAGAACGGCTCACGAATCGATGCTGTTGATGAGCTGTCTTGAATTTTGGATGCGCGCGGCGTGTGTCTCGTAAAATCAAACATGAGCGCGCACTAAAAGCGTACAACAAAAACGGGCGGCCAGCCTATCGAACAACTCATAAATTTTAACTGAATCCCCCCGGAATGTTACGCGAAAGCACTTTAGTTAACAACCCGGCATAAAAAACTGAACTTTTCGACGTTTACGCCAGAGACCTTTCATCCATTTTGTATCACCTTCGTATATCTATCTCGTCCCGAGGGCTCTGGAGAAAAACCGATGACCTTACCTATCGTTGTCTTAAGGGAAAACCCTCCGGTTAAGCCGGGTGGGGGGTGCAAATTGAACGAGCTTTGTTATTAACATAGACGATCTTCGATCAAAACTTCAAGAACGAATGCCGTGCTTGAAGGCAAAAGGCGCACGTGATACTGCCTTCTACAGTAAAAACGGCTTACCTCCCCTGGTAAAAGTGAATCAGCCTGATGTCAGGCTATGTTTCACAAACTACCCTGAGTCAGACTGATGTCAGCCTGAATCAGTCAGACTCAGGGTAGTTCATGAAACATAGCCTGACGTCAGGCATACTCACTTTTACTAGTGATCCATTCTGAATGTTTCAATTTTTTTCCTGTCTAAACGTTCAATTAAGAGATAACCAGGGGTCTTTTATCATCTATATTTTCAGAATGATTAGTTCGTACATACGGTGAAACTGCATAAATACGTATATGGTTTGCGGCGCTACAGACTTTCTGTCACACTTTCTTTTCTACTTTGAAAACTACAGAACGTCATTCGTTTAAAATGTCAATGATTTTGTTTCTCATCTGAATGAATAATATTCTTTGAAAAATTCAAGTCATGATGTTGGATCAGTCTCCTTTGAAAAAAAAGAGCAGTAGCAGAGCTTTCGAAACACCGCAATCGAGATACCTACGCATTTTTGCAGTTTTACTGTCGATATTGTACAAGCCAAAGTAGAGTTACTGCGTTCTTGCTGTGTGCAGCAGAATACATTCACGACTTTGCACGGCCTCTCACATTCTGAATTAAAAGGGAGAACTGATGAAATTTTCTGTTGAGGACGTTGCAGAGTGTATAATTTACGAAAAAACTGAGGGGAAAAATACTACGAAAGTTCAGTTAATATGGGGAATGGAGCACAAAGTTTCTGAAGCACTCCGTTGATCCTGAGGTATCCTGATTTTTCACTCTTTCTAGTGCTGATTCAATGCAAATCAATACAAAATGAGCATGCTCAGCAATTTTCAATTCATGCATTTTTAAATAGTGTAGAGTGCACCTAGTTGCAATTAATTTAGGATATTTCCGGACGCCATCTCGGATTTCGCGGCGATGCGCATTTATGTGGAAGCTCATATATGCAATTTTGATTTTGTTTTCCGTAGCCTAATGTTGTTCAAATTCCTGTAAATTGAGTGTGCAGTCCTGACATATCAAAAATGCATGAATGAAA